AGACTTCATTTGAAATAACTAAACCTTGTGATGCTGAGGATACCAAACAATCCTCCAGTAAGATAAGAAATCTCTGATATGGATGAGATTGCCATGGTAAAATTTACCTTTGTTTCTTGAGTACAAGGTTGTTGTCCTGACAATGTTCACAGAAGTAGGTCATTCTGGCCGAGTCATCACCCTGACGACACCTCACCACTTTGCTCTGACACTGAGAACAGTTCCCTTTGTTGTAAATCTTCATGAATTTCCCAAGGTTGGTTCCCTCTCTTCTGCACTGAATTATATATATATAATTAACAAGTGGCCCAGAGGGCCATTCAACTGGATATTTAAACAGTCATGGCAAAATATCATATACCGCTATAGTTATTGATATGATCGTTTTTTATATCTGACTTAGGAATTTATGTAGATATCACTTCTCATATAAGTCATTGTTTGGTTTGAATCATACCTGCATAACAGGTATCAAACTGTAGCATTAAGCCAGGTACTGTCATCCTGTGAAACAGTTAAGTGAGGGTTCTCCCACAGGGAACTCATCTTGATCCACTCTTATTCCTATTATATGTAAATCATCTTTATAAATCATCTTCATTTTCTTTTGACGGACATACTGATCTTTTTGCAGACCATGCAACATTATCTTATCAGCCTGACTCGATCACAAAATATTTCCACAACCTCAATAATTCCTCAATAATGTATGTTCTACATTAACTGATTGGCGTACTCAAATAAGATAGAAATTAACGGAAGCAAAACAAAAACAATATTTTTTTTCCGTTAAATGAAACTATCCCAAATAGGCCTGGGCCATATCAATATAGTTAGCAAGTACAAACACTAAGTCATTTTGTACAAAGACATGGTCACATCAAATTGGGCACATAATATCCAAACTGAATTCACTTTTAAGAATACAAGAACAAGAGGCCCAGAGGGCCTGTATCGCTCACCTGAATATGTTTAAAATAATTGGTATGAAGTAAAGATATAGCACTCCATGGTAGGTGCTGTAAGTACATATGAAATTTCAGAAAGATCCATCCAGTACACAAGATAAAGCGAGAACAAACTTCAATCAGAGCCCCACCCCTATGCCCCTAGGGGGGTCATACCCACCAATTATACAAAATTGAGACCCCTTGGTCCAAGGATGCTCCAGACTAAATATGGAAACAAGAGGCCCATGGGCCTTAACGGTCACCTGAGTCTATAGTATTTATTTTTGTTGTTGAAATATGTACCAATTTGAGTAAAAAATAGTATAATGTTAACTTAACTTTGTCAGGACCATGAGCTGATCATTCCTAGACCAATTTTAAGTGAGATCGGCCTATTAGAACTTAGTAGCAAAATAGCGGCCATGGCAGCCAAATTGTATTTCTGATTGACCCGAAAAATAACAACACTTTGTCAGGACCATGATTCGATCATTCCTACAAAGTTTCAGTTCAATCGGCCAAGTAGATCTTTACTTTAAGTTTGAAATAGTTTACCAAAATGGCAGCTGTGGTGGCCATATTGGATTTCTGATCGACCTGAAAAATAACAACACTTTGTCAGGACCATGAGTCAATCATTCCTACAAAGTTTCAGTTCAATCGGCCTAGCAGAACTTGACTTTAAGTTTGAAATATGTTTTCAAAATGGTGGCCGTGGCGGCCATATTGGATTTATGATTGACCTGAAAAATAACAACACTTTGTCAGGACCATGAGTCGATCATTCCTACAAACTTTAAGTTCAATCGGTCCAGCAGAACTTGACTTTAAGTTTGAAATAGGTTTTCAAAATGGCGGCCGTGGTGGCCATATTGGATTTCTGATCGACCCAAAAAATAACAACACTTTGTCAGGACCATGAGGCGATCATTCCTACCAACTTTCAGTTCAATCGGTCCAGCAGAACTTGACTTTAAGTTTGAAATAGGTTTTCAAAATGGTGGC